TTGGTCTGGACCCGATCGAGCTAGTGGGTCAAGGGTTAATGGGTCAACCGGTTTGACCCGGTTTGGTCCGGAAATATGGAAAGAGTCATTATATTGTACTTATCCTCATAAATTATATCAAATCTTATCTAACATATGAGTTATAACATATAATATTACACCAAAATAACATATCGTACTTAGGTCCAACATATAGTGAAAATTCACACACACTTATATAACATTAATATTCAAATGTTCAACTTAGGATTCCAAAGATTGAGTTAGGCGAAAAGAAAATTTTAAAAGTAGGCTCATTTCGCAAACAAAAGAAAAAAATGACACAATTTGACCTCCAACCCGGTACCTTGTAGCGGTCGACCCGGTGGGTGGGTGCGGCCTGTTTTTCTCACCGGGTCAGGATCAATGTGGGTCGACCCGCCGGTTGACAACCTTACTTTAATGTAATTTTGTTTGTTAAATTGTTCATGTCATTCTACGAGATCAACTGAGACCAGCTTAATGTTGCGTTAATCGTAATTGATTTCATTTTGATGTTTATATAGCTTTATGTCCCAAAATGAATCATCCATTTCTCTCGCATTGTAATGGGTTTTGCATAATACGTTGCAATATTTATGATCCAACTTATGATCCTTGTCAATGTCTTTGTAGTAGTTAATGTACAACTAAGAGGGGTTCACTATTTTCATATTTACAGTAATGTTACTATTTGTGCATAACTAAAATTGTTAAAACACGTTTCTTATTTTTTATACAAGAGTGATATATGTTTTATTTTATTGTTATTAAGGTACTACTTAAGAGATTCGGACCTGTAACCTTCAGTTTCTAGGCTAGTGGTATTACCACTAAGCCAATCCCTTGTTCGTATTAAACCACATTTTATTAGAAAACCGAAATCATGACAAACTGCTCACTAAGTGGTGTTATGATCAAGTATAGCAGTTTTAACGTAGACTTAATTCTCCACATTGGGTTACTTAAGTGTACCCCTTGATTAGTTTGAGATGTGTTCACATGCAAAAACTTATAAAGAGACGGTCCCTCGTCGTCATACCACACTTTTTTTTGTGCGTCCCCTTCTCTCTTCTTCGTTCCTTTTGCGGTTTTCCCCTTCCGTTTACTTCTAACTTAGACTCATCAATCAACCTTCTCTCTCTCCTTTATTCTAGGTGATTCCCACATCCAATCACCATCATCATTCCCAATATACGAAGCCTCTTCTTCTCTTATCTCTCTCTCAACTGTTCTTTGCTCCCTTTCTCGTTTCTCTTATTTAATCTCAGCATCATCTGCATCGTCCAACTATATATATTGTCCTCAAGATGTCAACATTAGAAATAATCCTTCCCGTGATCAACCCGGCGGTGTAGGATTTTCTCATATTTCAATAGGTTGGTACATTTGCATTTCATTTGTCATCGGGTGTAAACCACAATCCACCTAATATATTTTTGTTCTTTTCAAGTATATAGTTGCCCTTAATCTCCAACTGTAAACATGGAAAGTCGAGTTATGGGGTTCATTACGCAAACTATCTGTTTTGTTAAAATATATATTGTTTGTAACCTGTCACATACGTCTTAGAGGAAATTTAATATAGTGGTCAATACTTGCTGGTTGTCGTCTCTATTGCAATTGTAAGCAGCCAACCCTATGATCTAAGTATTTGACTTCCACTTTTTTACGATAATAAAATGTACATCACACCATTCACACACAAAAAAATTTAACGTGCAAAATTATGTTTGGCGTTTGTCACACCATTTATAGATAGTTTTCTTACGCTCCAGGACTATGATTGGACTCGTCCATCTTCGTGATGGTCTTTATTATCTACATCTCACCGGTGGGATGGTTGCTTCTGTGAGACCGGCGGCTCAAGCCCTAGCTACAGCCAGAGGACCGAGTTTGAAGCTCTGGCATGCGAGACTCGGGCACCCATCTGTCATCAAACTTTCACATTTGCATACTAGTTTGTCTTTATCATATTCTTGTTGGGATGTTCATCATTGCGATTCTTGTTTGCATGCAAAACAGACTCCAACACCTTTTGTTTCTCACTCTATCAAGACTACTGCTTGCTTTGATGTTGTTCACATGGATATTTGGGGTGGTTATAAGACCCCTTCCTTTGATGGATCCCGTTATTTTCTCACTGTAGTTGATGATTTCAGCCGTGCAACTTGGGTTTATCTTCTGAAATTCAAATCGGAAGTTGCACGTTATATTCAGCTTTACTGTGAGATGGTTCGCACCCAATATAATACATAGGTTTGACGGATTTAGACTAACGACGACTTGGAGTTCGATACTCATGATCTGCGAGATTACTATTAGAGCCGTGGGCTAATCTTGCAAACCTCGTGTGTCAATACCCCACAGCAAAATGGGGTTGCAGAGTGCAAACACCGTCACCTATTGGAAACAACGCATGCTTTGCGTTTTCACTCCGGTCTATTGGTTCGATTCTGGGGTGATTGCGTTTTGACTGCGACATACCTTATTAATCGGCTTCCTTTGGCTGCTCTTGGTCATAAGTCTCTTTATGAAGTTCTCTTAGGGCGGCCGCCTTCCTAACACTTACGAGCTTTTGGTTGTTTAGTTTACGCCAAAGATACTTCTCACGGTCTTGACAAGTTCGTCGAGAGGGGGAGACCATGTGCTTTTGTTGGTTATCCAGCGTCTCAGAAGGGTTACATATTTTTCGACCTTCAGTCGTGGCGTATATACTCCTCACGAGACTTGCATTTTGTTGAGGACGTGTTCCCATTTAAAAAGGCAGGACTCAAGATTGTAGCAACCAGCCTTCCTTGTGAGATGCCTCAGCAGTGTAGCTCTACCATTCCCGCATACCATGATGATTTCGACGAGGAGTTTACGAGGCTAGTTGGAGAGGATAGCCCAAGGGAGGAAGTTGACCACGCACTTGCGGATCATGCAGATCATGCGCATGATGAAACGGGTGACAGTGAACCAACCGCGGAAAGGAGATGACGAGCACACCGATTTGGGAGCAAATGTTGCCCCTGTTTTGCGGCGTGGGACAAGGGATCTTCTTCCACCACCTCGCTTGGTTGATATTTATGAGATCGAGCTTCCAGGACATACTCAAAGCACATATGTCACTTATCCCATTGCTAACCATGTAAGTTACCATTTATTTTCCCGTGCTCACCGTGCTTATCTTGCAACCATTTTGAAGATTGTCGAGACCAAGTACTTCGCTCAAGCAGTACAGGATCCTCGATGGCATGAAGCGATGCAGGTAGAAGTGACAGCTCTTGAGAAGAATGTGACTTGGACGTTGGAGTATCTACCACCTGGGAAGAAGGCCATTGATTTCAAGTGGGTGTTCAAGGTGAAATACAGGCCAAACGGATCGATAGAGCACTCCAAGGCACACTTGGTTGCAAAGGGGTTCACCCAACTGGAGGGAGAGGACTTTCATGATACTTTTGCACTGTTAGCAAAAGTAGTCACTATGCGAGTTTTGATTGCTATTGCAGTCAGCAAGGGTTAGATTCTGAACCCGTTGGACGTCAATAATGCGTTTCTTCAACCAAATCTCGAGGAGGAGGTTTATATGAAGGTGCCACAGGGTTTTACCAAGGAAGGTGACAACCGAGTCTGCAGACTGAGGAAGTCCCTTTAAGATTTGAAACAGGCGTCACGAAACTGGTACCAGAAGTTTACTTTGGCGCTGGGCGAACTCTGTTTCAAGCCTTCCCGAGCAGACCATTCACTGTTGATCTATCGGAAAGGGAAGAGTTTTGTTGCAGCTCTCATCTACGTCGATGACGTGATCCTCACAGGTACGACACCGACTTCATAGCACGAGTTAAGGCTTTACTGGATGAAAGATTCAGCATCAAAGACTTGGGAGACTTAAAATATTTTCTCGACATTGAGGTGACACGATCTGATGAGGGAGTCATCTTAAGCCAAAGAAAATACACTTTGGATATTCTGAAGGATGTAGGTGCGACAGGTTCGCGTCCCAGCGGTTTTCCTATGGAACAAAACCACAACTTGACTCGTCCCACTGACGAGGTCGGAGTAGGCGCGAGTGGGTACTGGCCCTTGGTTGGCCGATTGTTGTATTTAACAGTAACGAGACCTGACATATGTTACACAGTGAACATTTTATCTCAATTGTGAATCGCCCGAGGCTTGAGCACATTCCCGCCGCTGCAAGGGTCTTAAGGTACCTAGGTGGAGTGCTAGTTTCTTGGAGAACAAAAAAACAACGTGTTGTTTCCCGCTCTTCGGCTGAAGCAGAATACAGGGCAATGGCAAGTACTGTTAGGGAGGTTCTTTGGCTCCAATTTCTGCTGGGAGAGCTGGGCGTTCCTCAACCTGCACCCACCTCTCTCTTCTGCGACAACCAGGCGGCATTACATATTGCCGCCAACCCTATTTTTCATGAACGAACAAAACACGTCTAGATGGATTGCTATTTTATTCGTGAACGGGTAATGTCAAAGGAGATCGAGACGAAGAAAATTGGAAGCTCTTCTAAACTGGCGGATATCTTCACAAAGGCTTTGGGAACGGAGATTCCACTTTCTTTTGTCCAAGCTTGGCATTCGCAATCTTCATGCTCCGGGTTGAGGGGGAGTGTTGAGATGCGTTTGTTAGTCCCACATTATTGGAGGACTAAATTGTATTTTGTCCCTTTTAACCTAATACCCACGTTGATTAGTGATAAAGTTATTTAGGTGGCTTTGTAACCGTTCTGTTGATGTACGCTGCAGATTTCTATTATGCTAAAAACCTAATAAGAGAAACCAGGAACTCACATTCTCCGTGGACTAGTCTCGTTATCACGAACGGGGAAACCACGTAAATCATCGTGTTCTTGCTTCCGTTTTACATTAGTTTTACAAATTAGGATAAACAAATGAAAGTGGGATCATAGCATACATGTGAGAATGGGAAACACGAATGCCAAGGATATAAGCGGCTTTGGTGTAAACTGGGAGGGAGATCCTGTGTTGGGAGGAGTTCTGTTTGGTTCAGCAGAGGAGGTGATCGACGTGGGGACTTCGGTTCAGGCCGCTGACGCGAGGAGAGGTGTGTCGGTGGTGGGGCTGGTTGGTTCAGGCGAGCGAAGCGGCGGACCTTGTCTGTCAGAACGCCGACGCGACCAGAAGATGCTATCGGCTCGGCGACGAGAGACTGTCTGAGGGCACGATTTGGGGAGCGGGAACGCTTTGTAGACTGAGGTAAAATGACATATTTATTTATTTATTAACTAGTATCCAAGATTTCGTGTGGTAGAGAATTAGGTTTTTTGGTTGGTTTTGCCCGGTTCAATTGGTTTTGGTTAGTAATTTTTTTTATTAATATTTCAAGTGATGTAGCACCCTGACTGGATAAAACAATCAGCTTTTTGAATGGAGATGGTCGAAATGACCATTTCGTTATTCTCTCAAACGCATGTTACTGAAACGTACAAAATAAAAAGTTTGTGACCATTTCGTACAAAGTGAATAGGTTTATGACCTTGCTGATTACCCGCCAAAGCTCGGACCTCCACTCGGCCGCATGGCGAAGAAGAGAAGCATGCTGCATAATCCAGAACCTTTCCTGCCAGAGGAGAATGCCTCGGTCGCCGGCTCGAGGAAGCGTTCCAAACCTCACAGGAATCACCAGCTACAAGAGGAGACGATCGCTTCGGGGATAAGCTCGAAGATTCTCAAAGAAGCTTTGATTCAGCAGAGGGAGATTTAAGAGGATGCCGAGGAAAGAAATCATACCAGAGAAGCGTTTGCTGACCTACTCAAGCACGGCGAGGGAGGAGAGGAAGACGATGTCTGTTGAGGATATTAATTATTTAGTCAAAAATAATTAATTCCTTGTCCTCAAAGTCCCTTGTTTCCTTGTTCAAGTAAAAGAAGGAAACTTGGCTGTCATTAGGGTTTTAACCCTACGTCGATCTATATAAGCTTAGCTACGAGATTGTCGTAAGCAAGCCGTCACAATGTAGTCCCTAATAAAATATCAGTCGTGAGCTCGTTCCGAGCTCACCGTGGATTAGTCTCGATCAATCAAGATCGAGGATACCACGTAAAATCTCGTGTGTTCGCGTGTTGTTCCAATTCCACATCATCAAATTCTACATGGTATCAGAGCGAAACTCGATCCCTTGTCTAGGGTTTTGAGCTTCCGCAGTCAAGGCGAAGTCCAAACCACCTTCACAGTAGCCACTGCCGGTAGTCAATTCAATGTTGGCGTCCCTCCAACATCATCCCGGCGTTCCCTCGATAGTCACGGTTGCCGTTGAAAGAAGAGCCGATGTCCACTCCGGCCTTCTACTCCGGATCCGGTATCATAGTCGGCGAAGTCATTCCCGCCGTTAAGAATGAGATCTCTAGTCCGCCGTCGTCATCAAGTGCTCTTGTTATCAATCGTCGTCCTTGCCACGGCTGTTCGTCATCATCGTTGGTCGAAGATTTCGTTGCGGCGTCGCCTTGCATCGAGGCACCTTCGCGTCATGTCCAGCAACGATGGCCTTGTCATCAATCGCGCGGACTTGGCCGTCTCCAGATCGCTAGTCAAAGTCCATTATTGCTTGGGTCAGCGGGGATCTCTTCATCAAGGTCACGGAGAACTCCTAACGTTTGACAACTTCACCTCACGGCTTTCACCCGTCGAGTTCACCTCACGGCTTTCACCCGTCGAGTTTGGCGGCTTTCATCTCTTGCCGCAGCATCCACTACCACAAAAACAAAGGTTTGGTTAAATTGTCCATGTTCTTTGGTGGAGTCATCTTATTTAGTGGAGGTCTCTTCCGCATAATAGCCAGACTCTCACGTAAACTCCATGATGGTGAAACTTCAATAGCTAAATTCTGTGCACCCCCCGGAATTCCATGTCTTTTGTCATTTTGTGGTATCCTTTGGTCAATTCAGCTTGGGATCTCTTGGTAGGAGTTTGTCGGTCAAAGTATTTACATGATCAGGGTTGAAAATCAGTTCGTGGTGGAGATTGGTTGCGTTGTTTAATTGCCGTCCCGAAGTCGCCCAGCATCACTCAGTCTTGCCGTTTGCCGCTTCAGTGATCCGTATCCGTTCTAGCTCTTCGTTCTGCCTTCAATCATCGCCCAGGACCGGTTCATCCTGTTTGCATAATAGTCAACCTCAAGCTCAGTCGTACGAAGTTGTTGGATGTTCACTTTGTGTCCTACTGTTGGTTTCAAGCTCAAGATTCAGCAATTGTGGTTGTTGGTTTTCTTCACTAACATCACAGTCATGGCATTGAAGGCAATCATGATTGGCAGTGGTCATCTCTTCAATAGCTAGTGTTGGGGAGTTACAGCTTTCGTCAACAAAATTGTCAAGTCATAAAGCGAGGCAGTCACGATCCCAGTAGCGATCGTCCCCTCAATATTCAGCATCGGTCAATATTGAGTCATCACCATTCTAACTTTCAAGCTGGGCATTCACATCGTTCATGCGTCAGCTTGAGGGGGAGAATAGGGAGTAAAGTCGTTCATGAGATGCAGTCAACCATCTCCACCATATCATACGGATAGACGTAGTCAATCGTCTCCGTCAAGTCATTCAAGAGACGCAGTCAACCGTCTCTGTCAGGTCGTTCAAGAGACGCAATCAACCGTCTCATCACGACGTTCAAGAAGATCCATTCAACCGTCTTCGTCAGGTTGTTCAAGGGAGAGAGTCAGTCGTCTCCAAATCAACCTCGTCCGAGTTGTTATTCATCTCGAGTTATGTTGTTCAAGCTTGTCATGCTTGTTCGTCACATTTCCTTTGTCAAGCTCGACATTCTTGTCACTCATGTCTTCGCTTGAGGGGGAGTGTTGAGGATATTAATTATTTAGTCAAAAATAATTAATTCCTTGTCCTCAAAGTCCCTTGTTTCCTTGTTCAAGTAAAAGAAGGAAACTTGGCTGTTATTAGGGTTTTAACCCTACGTCGATCTATATAAGCTTAGCTACGAGATTGTCGTAAGCAAGCCGTCACAATGTAGTCCCTAATAAAATATCAGTCGTGAGCTCGTTCCGAGCTCATCGTGGATTAGTCTCGATCAATCAAGATCGAGGATACCACGTAAAATCTCGTGTGTTCGCGTGTTGTTCCAATTCCACATCATCAAATTCTACGATGTCTCCAATATTGACGATTTTGCGGGGTTTTCTGAGACTCAATGTCGCTATGATGATTTCGAGGTGAATTCACTTCTACGCAACAAACTGCCTTTCCATTACAGCAGCCAGATGGATGGAGTTTTAGTTGTTTAATTTCCTTTTTGGCAGGGGGGATTGACGAGGAAGATGAGAGAATATTGGAGGCTTTCTTATCAAAGTGTAGTCAGGAACATACACTTACAGATATCATTGTTCAATAGATCAAGGAGAAGGCTGCTCAAGTTTCTTCAGAATCGCAGCCTTCACCCAGAATGGACAGCTCGGTGATAGATTTGTACAAAGGGCAATTATATGTGTTTTCCTTCGTTACAAGTAGTCTTTGTATAATTTCGTTTTGATTGTAAAGTTTTAGGGTTGGTGAGTTCATGAGTAAATACACTACTGGGAAAGTTCCAAAAGCATTCAGAAAGATCACTACCATGCACAACTGGGAAGATGTCTTACACCTGACTGAGCCTGAGAAATGGTCACCAAATGGGATGTATCAAGCGACAAGGATCATGGCTTCAAACTTGGATGCGAAGAAGGCCGAGCGGGTCTGTAGACTAGTTTTGCTTCCTTGAATTAGGGATGACATTAAGAATACAAGAGATTGCATTTTGCTCTTTATCAGGCCTTGAGAAAGACTATTTTCAAACCTGCTGCATTTAACAAGGGAATATTGTTTCCATTGTGCAAGGTATGTGTTCTTATTCAGACTTGTATGTGGTTCTTTATTTGTAAGTCTGCACATTTGTTGCTTCTCTTGTATCTAGTTCTATGACTACTGTGACTACTTCCAATTCAGAGTGGGGGTGATTTTGTTTAACAAAAAGAGCATTAGTTGAGTGAATTTGATGTCAGCAAGATATATCAGAATTCTATTTTCGCTTCTTCTGAAGCATGGATTTCATAAGGATTTTCCGACTGATTTAGTTTCTGGGCTAATATCACATGGTAACCATTCCTGAAGCTTACTTCCATTGACACGGCCACCTAATCTGGCTGAATCTATCGGGACTGCCACCTTCTCAAGCATACTTAGGTTGAAGCCTGTATTTCTAGTGGCCTCATATTGTTCTCTATCATAAATCTGTTGCTCCTAACTGGTTAATTGGTTATCATGTTGTCCTTTCTTTTAGTTAACCAAACATAGAAACTGGTCTTATATAGTTTAATTATCAGTTATTGTTATAGTCCGTTTCAATTTTAATATGAACTGTGGGACATGGAAATCGTAAAGCGACTTCATAGCCTTTTGCGAATTTAAGGTTAGTTGTTCTGCTCTGGATCTTCATTAAATCCCTATAATGTCCCTGTTGTGCTTCAGGAGTAAAAAATATATAATAGCCACTGTAACCAGATAACTCATAAGCAACATAACAGTGCATAGCTTATGACTTATTTGGAATTAGAACCTCTATCTAACCTGAGCAACTTGTGGTTACAAGAGTTTCTCTTATATCTTACAGAAGATTGAGAGAGAATCAAGTTTTATTATGTCATTCACCAGGAAGTTCTCGATTGTCTTGTTACTGTAAGGGTTTCAAACGTGCTTTCAAATGCTATCAGTTTCTTTTGCATATGTTAGATTTTAAATCCTGTGAATTGCTACTTATGTCAATACAAAATGATCGTGTATGCTTGGAATAGTTTAGCTGCTGGTGTATGCATGTATTTGCAGGATTTCTCCTGATAGGCTGTGAGGTGCTTTTCGAGACTAATATTTGTTCCCCACTCTGCATCATGTTTGCAGTCAGGCACATGCAATCTTAGAGAAGCAGTCATTGTTGGAAGTGTTATTCAAGAGGTCACCATTCCTGCGCTTCATTCCGGGTATCCCATCCATTTTCCTGAGACAATTTCATCTGTCACAAGCCTTGAAGAATAATTTTATTTATCCATTATCGATTATTTATGCTCTGGCATATATATATATATATAATATATTGTTTAGGCTAATATTATTTAATCGTCTGATCTCATTAGTATTATTTCCCTTTCTAACAAAAGAGGAATGAAGAACATTTTAGAGTTGTTTGCTCAGCTGTTTGAGGTTATTCCGTCTATCATCTTGCTTGAATTCCTGTTCCTCTCGATGAGAACTTCATTCCCTTATTGGTGGTGTGCATACAATGACTGAAAAAAGTTTGTACTGGGTTTTGTGGAAATTTAATTGCAGTACTATCTTACTGGAGCTTGCAGAAATGGAGTATTGTGGCATGACAAGGTATAAAGAGTGTCAAATATTGTGCCCGAGTTGAAAAGGTTAAAAAGGGAAATGATCTATGTGGATTCATCTTAATGGATTATCTGATAGAAGTTCGGTGGAATTATGCTCTTTTAATGTTCTTGATAAATAAGCCACTGGCACCAATTTCTCCTTTAGAAGCACAAGGTGACAGTTTTGTGTGTGACAACACTTTTGCAGTTATTTCATCAAGCTTCTTTTGGAAAAGAATATGCACTGCCATATCATGTTATCGAGGGACTTGTTGCCCATTTCATGAGATTTATGGAGGATTCAAGGATCATGCCTGCAATTTGGCATCAATCACTACTGGCATTTGTTCAAAGGTATGGTAAATTTTCTTTCTCTGCAAATCTGTAGACTGTAGGTCATGCTCATGGGTTATCAGTTGAACCTTCTATATTTTTAGGAAAAAGAAATGTTAGTAGACGTTACAATGAAGCATGGAAAACTATGTCAGGTACAAGAATGCACTCCAGAAAGAAGATAAAGAGAACCTTAGAGATGGTCTCGACTTCACAATCTTGGTTCTCAGGTAACTCCTGAAATTGTTAGAGAACTAGACAACAGCCGGAATCGCGGTGAAAAGGAGGATGATCTTATGGCAACAAATATCCTTTGGTTATGAATTACTTTGGAAGTTTCATTACCTTTTAACTGTTGAACTCTCTCTTATTCATTTCATCCGAGTAGTCTGACTTCATTTTGTGAATCCCTTAACTTCAAATTACCATTTGTTTCTGTAATCAGTAAGACCATCGAGGAAGACCGATTCGATATACCAAAAGTGCCCATGGAGGAGGATTACGGTTTTTACCTCGTTCCTTAATTCTATTGCCATTTTCTTATCTGTCGATGGCTAGGCCGTTCTCGGCTTCTCGCTTGACAGATCTTTAACCTGAGTTGTCTTTCCACCCCATGAATCACCAGGGCATTCTGCTGCTGTGAGGAAGTGATGTGCTTGGCTACCAGTGGGGAGTCCCTCCGGAGAACAAAATTTTTGATTTGTGAGTTGTGAATGCATTTATATATTAGACTTAGGCGGTTGGATGAGAAACAAGAGGGGCTTCTATTTTATGCATGAGTTTTTACTGCTTATCGTGGGATGTCTTAGCAATTATTATAAGATCTTCCTAGATGAAATGTAAAACTATCAGCACTTGTTTGAAACTTTTGTTTTGGTTGTGATAATCATGTACATTATTGGTTTAGTTAGTGTCTATTTGAGCCTCTTTATCGTCAACAAATTAAATTAGAAGTATTGTTGTGTATAGTTTTCAAGGATGTGGAATTGTGGATGGTTTAACTCACTTATTAGAAATATAGGATCATTTTATACTTTATTTTACAACAAACTTCCATTTCATTCCAAACCAAACAAGTGGGAAGCATTACAATTACAATAATGGAGTGACAAGGTGGGCAATGACAGCCCATTTCGGAGGAAGAGATTAAGTCGAGAGTTTCTGGCGATTCAATCAGCCAACACATTGAATCGACAGGGAACAAACTCAACCGAAATCCAATGAGAAACACGAAGAATGGAAACAACACGGGTAAGAGTTTCCCGACATTGCCAGGGCCAAAGGCTTGGATCCTATCTCAATACAATTGTTAATCCTATCTCAACGCAATTGCCAGGGCCAAAGGCTTGGTTGTGATAATTCACTACAACAAAATTGGCCTATTATGATGAGGCAATTTTGTCATATTAGATACCCATTTTGTCATATTATGTATAATATGACTAAAGGTGTTGTCACAAAGGTTTGTCATTTTATCGCTGTCAAGATAGGTCAAATATGACAAAAATTGAAAACAAGGTTGTCACATTTGCTTTCAGTATAGCTGAGGTTCTAGGTAGTCTGTTGTGACAAGCATAGATGTTATGACGACATATTTTGTCATTACGGTTGTCATAATCTAGTGATTTTAGGAGAATTGTTCGTCATATTACACAAATATATTTTGTCATAATTGTATATTGTGACGACTATATTTTGTCACAAGCAAAGTTGTTAACCCGGTTTAGCTCGTTGGCCTGATTGTCATAACTGTATATTGTGACGACTATATACATAATTATAGTGATTTGATAATTAGATGATTGAAATAATAAAATGTAATTTATTTATAGGTTCTATATGGCAATTTTACCATAATCTAAAAGCTACAACTATTTACATTACCCTCACTACAACTATTCACCTCCAATTTCCATCATAGAGCAGCGACTGCTCTCTTTCTCTGGTCTCAATCCCTGGTCCCTTCCTTATGTCTCTTCCGCTTCTAATTTTTTTGTAAGAATCCACAGAAATGGATCTTGTTCAGAAACCACAAAAACATAACACCTCAATCCAATCCAAGAACTAAACCACCGAGGAGAACAAATCACAATTTCAATCTGGTTCAACTTTCTCCAATCGACGCCCCTGCCAGAAATCTGTAAAGCTTCTTTCAAATCAAACCTCCAAACCCGATAATCAGAACCCTTTAACACCCATAAAATGCAGGGGAAGGCGAATCGACCATCTCCGTCGCTCTACCTTCTGAACCCATATCGGACAACAACGTGCCTCAAGCCTCCACCGCTCGCCACCTCACCACCACCAACACAACAATCAACCTGCCGATCCTCATCAGCGCCCAACATCAATACCTTCAACATAGAAAACAAATACAGAAATCATTTAAAAGATAAAAAAATCCATTGGACAAGAAACAGAAGAACAAGCAAAATTGAAAAGTTCATAACTACCAAACTAGAAACTATCAAGGAATAGCATCAGTACCCTCCCAAAACTTAAGTCAAATAAACTGAGAAAAGAATGATTGAGAAACCTGAGGAGTCTTCTACGGTGGAGGCTCACAGTTCATCTTGGGTGGCGGTCGGCGGTGGAGGATCTCGGTGGAGTTTGACTCGTGGTGGAGGCACGCGCTGGAGTTTGGCTCGTCGTAGAGTTCGCGTGGCGGTGCAGAACTGGTCGCTGTGGACGGGTAGAGCTGGCAATTCGCGGTCGTTGGTGGGGTGGCGGGATCGCCGATAGTGGCGGCTTGATCGCAAAGCAGCCTGCTCTTTTGAACAAAGAGACGGAGGGGAGGGTTGAGGCTGGTTGCGCGCAGGTGTGGGAGAAGATACGGTTTTGCAATGCAGAAGCGGAGACGCCCCATTTTTATATTTCCCTTTAGTTGATAAAACGACTTCGTTTTGGGGGCTGCAGTTTCCTTCGTTTTTTTTATTTGTTCACGGGTTGAACGGTACAATTTAAACTGATCGGTATTAAGCGGGTTGGAGGTTCAACCGCTAAAAACCATTTGGTACGGTATTCCCCCCTTTTAATCCTACCGTTCGGGTTTGGCTCCGGTACCGGTATTTAGAGGTTCAACTGCCAGTACGGTACAAAATTTTAAAACTTGGGAGGGATTGAAATTTGGGTGGGGAAAAATTTGTCGATCGGGCCGATTGGTTTTAGTTTAACACGAGGTTTCAGTCTAGTACAAGCAAATCTGACGAAAATTCCTTTTGTCAAAAATGAAACCACTATATTATGACGAACATGCCTTTTGTCAGCTCGTCGTAAGATTATTGTTATCTATTGTGACAAAATACTTTGTCATTTAAACAATTTAGGAAGGCATAATATGACAAAAGCTACTCTGACAATATAATTTGTCACTTTTGTGTCTCTTCCATCTCGATGTGTGATGCCTAGTTTGACAAATATAATTGTGACATGAAATATTTGGAACATTACTCACTTCAAATGACGAAATATTCTGACAACAAGAAATTTGTCACCGTTGAGTCTCTTACATCCCGATAAGGGACGCCTATTTTGACAAATTAATTGTGACACGAAATATTTATCACATTTGCTCACTTTAAATGACGACTTATTATGACAATAATTTTTTTTTGTCACATTAGGCATACCAAATATGACATATATTATTTTTTTCGTATCACCGTACCTATTGTGACAAACAGAAAATGACAAAACAAAAATTTTGTCCTAATAGGCCGAATTTGTTGTAGTGATAGTTATGTACATTATTGGTTTAGTTAGTGTCTATTTGAGCCTCTTTATCGTCAACAAATTAAATTAGAAGTATTGTTGTGTATAGTTTTCATGGATGTGGAATTGTGGATGGTCTAACTCACTTATTAGAAATATAGGATCATTTTATACTTTATTTTACAACAAACTTCCATTTCATTCCAAACCCAAACAAGTGGAAAGCATTACAATTGCAATAATGGAGTGACAAGGTGGGCAATGATAGCCCATTTCGAAGGAAGAGATTAAGTCGAGAGTTTTTGGCGATCCAATCAGCCAACACATTGAATCGATAGGGAACAAACTCAACCGAAATCCAATGAGAAACACAAAGAATGGAAACAACACGGGTAAGGGTTTCCCGACACTGCCAAGGCCAAAGGCTTGGATCCTATCTCAACGCAATTGTTAATCGTTGACAATCGGAGCACATACATGTTGGGACTGGATCTTGAACCGCCAAGATTCCTGCATTGAGAATAGCAAAAGCTTTCGCTTGAATCGAAAAAGAACAAAAGAATCTCTCAGCCCTTCCGTCGATAACCTGGCTGTTGGATTTAACAATAGCAATCCCATAATCCGCCACATGTACATGAGAAAGAAAGGATCCGACAAAATGCACAATCTTACAAAGGACCAGGCGGTGATAAGGTCGTCGACCGAGACTCCCAAGCTGAGAAGGCAAACCAGCTGACCTAAAAGAAGGGGAAACTAAGGACGACATCCTAGCTTCCTGAATGCTCCGGAAATCTCGATCAGCTAAAATTGCCACAACGGGCGGAGAGAACACCCTTCCATAAAAAATCATTCCATTTTGAGATTAAAAAACCAACTCGCAATACGATGTAAAAATTAGGACTAGATTGTATATAGGCATAATTGTAATAATGATATAATAATTTGATAAGTTGAGAGTACAAATACAAGTTACAAAAATTTCAACCTAGGAAACTTTGATGACTATACTACACCAGAAACATGCTTATACGCATCAAAATTATACGACAACAATACATGGTCGAAAGTAATTCGTTTGCAAAAGAAATCCATGTAATTGAGACGATTCAAATACAAACATTTCAAAATAGTAGAAAGTTGTTACAAGTACTCAGATTTTAATCCCTTGATTGTCGATGAGTGATTTACAATTGGTTCTCAAAAAACAACTATGTAATTAGTTGGAACATTAGTTTATTTTATCTAGTTAAACATGAATCATTAGCTGGTAAAAAGCAACCATGCATATATTAAGTTCATTTTCAATTAGTAATCTAAACCCTTTAAAAAAATAGAGCATTACACCACTACACAATAGTTTATGAGAACCCTAGCTAAAAGAACCTTTACATTTGTGCATGACGTAGAATACCAAACCTTTGGTATCTTTCTTCATTTTTTGAGTAGAAAGACCGACGCCAATAGCATCTTAAATCAGATTCCATGTTATCACCTTTTGTAGTGTAGCACAGATGCTCGCATTAATTTTATAACTAACAATATGTTTAGTTGTTAATGTGGGGATATTAATTAATCTAGGACTATGATTAGGATTTATAATGGATCTTGATCTCCTAGATGCCAATACGGAAACGTTCCAACACCAATAAATTGCGTCTCTTTTTGTACTAATTGAATAAGCATCACAAATGGTACGTACTAACTAAAACCAAACCGGACCGACCAAACCCGCATATCTGCCAATCTATCATGACCGCTAACTAGGGGTGGACAATGGGTTGGTCCATATCAGACTACTCGTATCCAAATAGAT